TTGGACAGTGCAGCTATACACAGCTGTTACATTCTGTTGAAGCTTTTTAAGGTAACATTGAACATCCGTTTTTACCTGTCATTGGGCTGGCTGCTTAACAGTACTTTTATCATTTCTAGGTGTTGGTCTTAAGTGAATTCTTTGCTCTCTGACCGTTGATGACACTTTCATCAACATAATACTCTCTCAGGATAAGAAAATAACAAAATGACATTTAGATATTTTCCTCTCATAGTTGCATGGCAGATCAATTCTTACCTTTGTTATAAAAGGCACTTATTGTCACCCTCTTTTTTTTTCTTTTTTTTTTTAGATTTTTATTTATTTATCTTTAGAGGGGAAGGGAAGGAGAGAAGGAGAGAAACATCAATGTATGGTTGCCTTTCCTGTGTCCCCTGCTGGGAAGTGGCCTGCAGGGAACTGGCCTGCAACCCAGGCATGTGCCCTGACTGGGAATCGAACCTCAATTGTCTGGTTCTGAGGCCCACACTCAATCCACTGAGCTACACCAGCCAGGGCCCTGATTGTCACCCTCTTTGAATCCAGTTCTCTCAGAGGCTCACTTTGTTCTATGAGTTGAAATATTAACTATAGCCCAGGGGGGGTCTCAGCTTGGCCTTGTTGGAATCTCTGAGTCTTGGGCTCCATTTTGGATCCATTCCATCAGACTGTGTCTGGGAAGCATTTATTTAAAAAAAAAAAAAGGAGGTCCCTAGGAGCTTCTAATGTGTGACAGGGTTGAAAACCACTGATAAAGTCCAAACTAAGACAAGCCTTTGAGAACTGCTAAAATGCTGGTAGCAGCAAATACCATCTTCCTGGTACAGAGCAGGCTTGGGATCCTTGCCATTTTATTGATGTCCTGTTTAACAGATAATTGGACAACACTTAAAAGACAGAAAAGCCTTGTCAATTTGGATTTGGGGCAACTAAGCAGCCTTGCCGTTTCCTTCTGTACAGGGAACTCGAAGCTAAGCTAATGCTACTCGTATTGTTTGCTGGCATTCCTGTCCAAACAGAATTTGCCAGTTCTCATACAAAATAACCATGTTAACGATTTCAACAACGATGATGGGTGCAGCAGCTTTCCACAGTTCCTCAGTAACCACTCAATACTAGGGTCATTATTTCTGATGTTAAGGATGATTGTTGTCACCTTAGCACAATAATTGGAACATAACTTCCTATATGAAAACTGCTCTTTTCCTAGGCTTTCAACTGGTAACAAAATAACAGTTTTTAAGGGAAAATAATGCCCCATTATTCAGGTGAGAGAGGCCCACCACCTACCATGCAATCAAAGAATCTAGGGTGAGACCTTGAATGACCATCTCATCTGCAAAACAGCTCTGTCCTAATGGGAGAGTTTCAGCCATTGCAGGCAAAGGCCCCACACCTGTTGGTTAAGGCCTTTAAGGAAAGTGTGTGCCAATGCCTTATGACTTTGGTAGCTCCCCCAGGGCCTTATTGTACATGGGCCTAGCTAAGGGGTATCACTGTCCATCTCCTGCATTCAGCATTCTCAACGACTGGTTTCTAAAGGAAAATCTATTTTAAAAAGCTCACTTTTCCTATTTTCCCATACTCTGGGTAAGAATTAGCAACATTTGCACTTTGGAAAACTTAGAGCAACCCCCCCCCCACCAAAGGGAATAAAATAATGTGAAATTATCAAGTTAGTAAAACCTTCAGAAAATTCTAATTGGCGGAACGAAAAACATGGACCATTCATCAAGAGCCCAGTAAAGTCAAAGGTCAGGAGAGGCCAGAGTTGAGAGTCAAGCTACTAAACTGAACTTGGGGTGGAGGGCAGGGGTTGTGTCCTCTTTATTCTTCGGATCCCCAGCATTTAGTAGCTCACTCAAACGTTTATTGAATGACTAAACCTTAAGTTACAATGCAGGTTGAAGGCCACAGTGCAAACATAAGTACTCTAGAAAGGAGCGTGGGGTACCTTCATACTGGATAGCTGGAAGTGAATCACAGCTTAAACTGACTGAGGTCAACATGCAAGGACGAAACCAAAACCAAAAGACACCAACCAGACAATGCAGAGAATAGGCAGGAAACAGATACTGCCTGGTAGCCAGAAACTGTATTCCAGAGCTTGTTTCAGCAGGAACACATCCAATGATCGAAGACTTTCCTTAGTCCTGGCCTGGTGTAGCTCAGTGGATTGAGCGTGGGTTGTGAACCAAAGGGTCGCGGATTCAATTTCCAGTCACTTCCTCTCCTCATGGATCAATCTGCATGTATATTTGAGTCAGACATCTCCCATTAAAGCTACTCTGTGCTTCTCTTAAGACTCAAGAGAAACATTTAAGCAGATTCATCACAAGAGGATGTAGGAATGTTTAAATAAAAAACATGTATATGTTCTTCTACATGAGGGTCACTGTTCCTCAGCTCTGTCAGGACCCAGAAGAAGGCTCAAGTGCTTATGATCACTGTCTTCTATTATCATATGGTACACAGAGTAAGGTACCACCCCTAAACGTGTCCACATCCTAATCCTCTGAATATGGGAATATGTAGTATTCCATGGCAAGAAGGAATGCATGGTGCTGATGAATTTAATGTAGGGATATTTTCCTGAATTATCCAGATGGGCCCAATGTAATTACAAGGGTCCTTATACATAGAGGAGGGAGGCAGAAGTGTCTAATGCAATGTGAGAACCACTGGACTGGCCATTGCTGGCTCTGAGAATGGAAAGGGCCAGAAGCCAAGGAATGCAAGTGGCTTCTAAAGGCTGGAAAATTCAAGAAAACGGGTTCTCCCCTAGAGCCTCCAGACAGGAATTCAGCTCTGCCTACTCCTTAATTTTACTGCAGTAGGATCCATTTTGGACTTCTGACTTCCAGAATTGTAAAATAATAAATATGTGTTGTCTGAAGCCACTGATTTGTTACAGCAATAGGAAACAAATACACACCTATTCAACTTCTTTCATCTATCCTTAATCCCTGGGTACCTGGTACAGAAACAAGTGGAAAAACAACACAGTTGTGTTAATGCTGATTTGTGGTCAGGCTAGTAAATAGTATATTGTCAATGCCTGTCCACTAGAAACATGATTCCAGATGATAAGAAACACTGGTTATCCCCTCAAGCTATGTAATGAGTCAGCTCCTGCCACATGCACGTTCAAAGGTTTTCTTTGAACTTCGAAATTTTAGAGTGACAAGTTCTTAAGTTGAAAAGCCCCTGCGGAAATGGTAAAGTATCCCAACTATTTCAGGTATGGATTCATTAACTCTTGAGAATGGAAGGTCATGTATCAAATATTTTAGTAATGTCTAAACTCTGCTTTTATTAGTAAAGTAACTGTGCAAATCGATCCCCTTCCCCACCCTCCCCAGAAAGATAATAAAGGTAAGGAGAATAAAAAGTGCTTATAGGAGACGATATAAGCCACCCCTACCTACTCTGAACATTTTCCTCACATTTATCACATTTGGTCAACTGCTGCTGAGATTCAGCTAATACAGTGGTGGGTTTTCTAGAATAGAAATTATGGCAGTTCAAGGGGGCCTACAATAAAGATCAACTAGCACCTGCATAAATTTATGCCTTTAACAATATTTTCGAATTTTACTGGTTATTTATTGGTTTTTACTCAATGGCTTCTTAATTTGATCACACGATATACTTTGGTGCTTATGAACTGTCACGTTTTGTTTGAAAACCATCTCTGAGGCAGTCTTGTTTTTTCATCTAATGGCTCTGGCTGAATACGTAGAGAACTGGCTTAAACATTCAACTTCAACAGCCAATGAGGACGCCAATACTAGAGGACCCTGGGTGTATGTGTGTAAAGTCTTGATAGTGTATCTTTTAATCTCAGGTATTGTATTTATTAACAAAGGGCATTTCTCTTTGGGGCAAATGTCAGAGTTCTTAAACATGAGTTTGGTTATGCCTTACAGCGGATTGTTTTGCCCTTGAAAACATTTCTGAGGTATCATGGAAGTCAAAATAAAACCTGTAACTGTTACTCTAAATACAGCCTGTCAAGAATGTGTTTGATCTGTGTGGTGAAGCCAAGTCATATGTTCTATGAGTAACAGGTGTTGTGTTTTTAAATGAATTCCTTTGCTGACTACAGGACTGGTTTTATTTCTTCTCGAGTCAGGGTTAACGTTAGAACTGTTGTTATTTCAAAGAGCTAAACATCACCAGATGGAGTTAATAGCAGCTCCTAAATTTGGCTAGTGGAGGGCATGAGCGCATTGTCAGAACATGAGCAGGATATGTGTTTGTGTGTGTGCGTGGGGGGGGGGGGTCTGCCTTAATTGTTGACATTTGGGGTCCCAATTTAGCACCTCCATCCCCATCTATTAGCTTCCAGCTGATCACAGTTTTTCCCCCCAGATGGGAGAGGTCAAAATGGCCACTGCCACACGTTTCCATACAGGTGAAAAGCATTCTGTCCAGGCTACGAAAGGTGGGTGGAGCTTGAGGTCCTGTGCACCCCCTCGCATCTGAGGAGTGAAACCAGCTACTGATGTTCGCAGTTGTGAAGGCTCCAAGGATCTGGAAGGCAACCTCTTCTCCAGCTTCCCACTTACTGAGAGGTAAGCACTTTCGCATGGTCACTCAGAGACGACATCGTAGCTGGTGAAGCGTAGGGACAACGTAGGCTGCCTTGTAAACTCAGAGGCCTTTCCGGGCAAAGGAGAACTCAGAAATCCTTCCCTCCAACCCCTCATTCTACAAAAGCAGATACCGATGTTAGAGAAGTGGTTTGGCCAAGGTCACAAAGCAAGTTGGTGAGGGCCCCCTACAAGCCAGGGTCCTGACTCGACTCCCTAGGTGGCCTCCCCTCTGGGGAGGGTCTGTCCCTGACTAGCTTTGAAGTTAGATGTTGGCCCTTTGGCAAAACTCTGCCCTGTGCTGCACAGCAGAGTCCCACTCTTAAGTGCTGGGGACACACAGCTGGTCAGAGCCGGGACAGCTGCCACACCTGTATTTTTGCACTTTTGAGAAACACAACAAGACAAAGTACAATTCTGCATCTCTTTATTTACAAACAGTTGGAAATGCTGTGTTCCATTGGGGAGCAGGGATGGGTTTGGAGCATAAGGGTTGGGATGGGATAGAGGGCTGATTCCAGTAGTTCTCATTATGCAGCACCAGAGCAAATGCTTGGGCTTTAATTAAGGTCATACTTTAACTTGGGTGAATCATCGTCATCTTGTCTCATAGGTACAGTATATATGCTCTTCTTATGGCTTTGTCCCGGAACACAATGCTGTGACAACAAAAATCTAAAGTCTAGAGAGAAGTTCCAAGTGCACTATGAGCTTATTTTCTTTTTTAAAAAAGTGATGGCCAAGACTTGTGCCGAACGGGTGCCTAAGGCACAGGAACGGCTCTGCTGTATTTGGGCTCATAAGACTCAGTGAGCCTGTGCCATCTTGAATCCTGCTCTGGAGTGCAGCTGGGTACTCAAATGAGGCCTGAAGATGGAGAGAAAACAAATCTGCACCCTTCCTGTCCCTCCCTCCAAGGACGGACTCACAGCAACCACCGCCTAGGGTATGGTGCAAGATTGCAGCCCTACAGCTGTCTCTTCCCCTCAGAGCACGTCATAAGGTAGACTTCAGTCTTGGGGTTGCTCTTGAGGTTGGTTCCCTTTCCCTCTGTAAAGTCCTGGCACACAGGAGCTGGCTTTCCACAAATGGGCCGTTCAGTGTGACCATGACATTGCAAGTCCCCCGTGTTATCAGAGGGTGGAAGGGTAGACATTTGATTTCAGGGTTCCCAGGAGGCTGTGGTAGCTCATGGAGAAGTGCTGAAATTGGGGAGCTGCGGTGGACAGGGGACCCACATCCCACACGGGTACCCATTGACTTTGGGTGTCTGTGAAAGGAAGCCACCTTCTTCACTTGTTAGGGGGTGTGACACTTGAAAGTAAGTACTCTCCCACCCTGACCTTCTTTCAGCCCCATTATTGCCCATCGTCATTTGACCTGCCCCCTTCCAGAACCCCAAGTGGTGTGCTCTTGTCCTCAATCCAAAGCTTCCCTCTCTGCCCGGAGCTAGAGAATCCTCCCTTTTTTAGTCATTACTGCTGACCTCCCCAAGCTCGTACATCTCCCACTGCAGCCTTCACTCAGTCTGGGCCATTACTGTTGACCTGCCGGCCCAAATAAAGCAACCCCACCTCCTCCTGGAAAGTGGGGGGGCGGCTGAGAGAAACTGATGGCCAGAAAGCATCAAATGTTGGGTGGCAGAATTCCGCCCCCCCCCCGCCATTCCTTCTCAGTAGTCTTATGGCCTTAGGAGGTATTGCTAGAGGTCAGGAGGGGCACATGAAGTGAAATTTAGAATCCGCTTGTGGGTTGTTTTGGCCCATCTCTGGAATATCCCAGACACTGGCCATTTCCCATAATTGGCATCTTTGATGGCCCTGAATCCGAGTCACATAAGTGGCACCTGTCAGTATGGGGTATAAGGCCTGCAAACTTATCAGCCTGGTACATCCGTCCCACACTATTTGCTCCAGAGCAGGATTCAGGTAAAAGTGGATCTGTCTGCCCTGGGCCTCTCTCTAGGCACCTTTTTTCTCCTCTTATTCCTACCACTTTGCTTTGCCCGGCTGGTCTCCTCATCCTCTCACAGCTGTAAGGCTTGCCCAACTGAAGTGGTAGGCACGTGTGCCCACTTTCCCGAGTGCATGAGCAAAAAGAACCACCACCAAATGGGTCTTGCTCTGTCTGCACAGCAGTGCTCTAGGCCTTGACTGCAAAATTTTCTTCTCACGTGCCATGTTCCTGCCAGCTCTCTGTCCCACATGAGTGCTTGATAGAGTTCTGGGGGCAGTGCCAAGAGCCAAAGGCATTCTGAGCCAGCTTAGCCTTATGATTTCACTTCCCAATAAACACCACTCATCTCCAGGTGGACAGAGGGTAGTTCAACCCCAACACGAGGGGGAAAGACACACCACCTTCCTTCACTGCCTGCCCCACGTGTCACCCAGAAGGCCAGTTCCCAACGCCTCTGGAAAGGGGTGTTTCTGTCACAAGAAATGCCGGGCTCTGCCTACAAGTTGCTGGTTCAGGCCTCTTGTCTCAGGCTTTACTGGGACAGCCGGGTGGTGCCTCTTCTACCCAAGTGTGGTTCTACCCCTCGAGTCTACCTGCTCACTTCCTTCCTGTGACCAGAGGGTGGTAACTTCAAACAACTCAGCAGGAATGCTTAGGGTCTGCATCCTGTTTGGCAAACCCACGGCCAGGATAACTACAGTCCTCCCTGGTCCATTCAGATGCTGAGCTCAGAACCGAGGCTCCCACAGTGCTCTCTGAAACTCTTCAGAGCCTCCCTTCACTCAAAAATAGGACAGCGGCCATGAGAACACCACAGCTCATTTCCTGGTTGGTCCAAGCCAGTTCTACAGGAATCCAGGATGAGCTGTTGGAAAAAAGTGCCAAAGTCACAATGGAACCAGAGAGTCCTTAACACCAAGGACTTCAGCAGGGTTATTAGAGAGCAGGAAAGGAGTATATTGTAAAACGCCAACTACATTTTCAGGTTGCCTATGGCCTGCACCCTGGATGGCATGTTACAGAACACGTACGTGCAAGTAGCGCCCCCTATGGGTATACTACGTAGTTTGGTACATCAAACTGTTACTTGAGGTCTATGAAACTGTTAACTGGTCAGAAATGGGGAAAGCCATTCCATAGTAGCATCCTGTAAGGAAAAGCTTCAGGAGATATTTACCATCTGCTAAGCCTGGAGCCAAAGCAAAGCAGCTCCTCCTTCCTCTGTTATATAGGATATTTTTCTTTGTTGCGTTTCCCACAGATCAAGGTAGTTTGGGAAAACAAGTTAAATTGATGAAAAGGGACAACCCAGAGGACATTAGGCCTAACATGGTGCTCTCCTTGACAAAACTGTCCTCTGAATAAGAAATTAAGAGCCACAGTAGATGACCTTTTATATATCTGGCCTAAAGCAAACCTTCGTTTATGTGCCACATTTCTGGAACTGGAAAGAAGTGATACATTGCAATGTCAGGTCTCAGTGGCTAAAGTGAGTAAGTTGGCATTTGCCTTGGACTCAAGTGTTTCTGCTGGGAACAGGTTTATTCTGGCAGAGCTTGGGTGGCAGGAGGCAACGTGCAGGGCCCTCAGGAGCAGGAAGTAGCAGGTTGAGGGAACAGCTGCTTCCACAGGTGGTGCACGTGGTGCGGGTAGGTAGAAGGACCAAAGCAGAAGGCACCCCACTTGGTGTAAGCCTCCCAGAGGTGCTCTGCATCTTTCCTTAAAGTACAGTGATTCTAAGAGATGCTAAGGAGGTTTGTATAGTTTGTCTGCCTGGAAACCTCCCTGCAGAGCCCAGGTGCTGGGCTGAGTGGAGAATGAGGGAGAGGTGGTCCCAAGGCCTTCCCTTAGCAGAGCTCAGGGTCTCCCCACAGAGCTGCCGCTCCTGTAACTAAGACCCCTCCAACACCACCCAGGCACCCCCAGTGTCCCCGCCCTCCTCCCTGGCCTGCATGGTTTAGCTCTTGTAGTCTGCCAGCAACCTTTACTTCTCATCCTCATCCCCCTCACTCAGGCTGCTGATGGATGCTGAGGCAGCTTTGGGTGAGGAGGGGGGTGAGCTTTTGATCGGGAGCCACGAGAAGGTAGGCGACGGGGAGCGGGAAGGGGACCGGCTCCTGGTGGGGCTGCTCACAGGGCTTTGCTTTGGGGACAGGGCCTGCAGCATCCGGCTACTCCTCTCCTGGAACATCTGCTTCTGGAGAGAAATTGGAGAAAAGGCATCTGTTAGTCACGACATCTGAGATGCCAGCGAAACAGGAAGGAAAGGCGGGAAGGGGAGCCACCGCCCCAAATGCCTGCCCTCCCACGCGGACTTGTACTACAGCCCACGTGGGCCAAGACTGCCTGGGGAGGAGCTGTCTGAAATTGAGGCCCAGGGAGCTGCTGACACGCCAGGGTCCATCACTGCTAGTGCCCGGCGTGCTTCCCTTCATGCTGCCTTCTCTTTCATTTACAAAATCTAAGTGAGAGTCTAGCATCTGCTGGGCAAATAGCAGTGTCCTAGGTACCAGAAGCCTATAAAGAGGAATGTCACAAACCAAATCCACAAAATATGTGGCATGTCACATGCAACTACAGTCTGTGAGAAAACTAAAATGGTAGGATAGCAAGGAAAACAATGAGAGAGGGATGTGAGCCTGAGGACACGTGGACTCCGACTGTAAATGGGGGGCTCAGGGGAGGCCACACTGAGAAGGCACTACTTGAGCAAAGACCTGAAAGAGATGAGGGAGGAGGTCATGTGAAGGACGATTAGGAGGAGGTACATTCCAGACAGAGAAGTCCAAGAGGGGAGCATACAGTTCATGTGCAAGGATGAACAAGGAGGCTCTGGGGGCTCGAGTGAAGACACCAGGGTGAGGAGGAGTATGGGGGGGCAGGGTTAGAGGCAGGTCACCAGAAAAGTCACAAAGAACTGTTATGTAGGGTCTTGGTGGCCATGTGAGAATGCTGGCCTTTACTCTGATGAGAAGAGAAACCTCTGTAGTTCTGAGCAAAAGAGTAACAAGCTGACTTTTGTTTTGAAGGACCCGTCTGGCTGCTGTGCTCAAAGCAGACAACAGCGCAGTGAGGACAGGGCAGGGGGAACAGCTGGGAGCCCTCTGCAACAAGAATCCAGGTCTGTGGTGGCGCCTTGCACCAAGGTGACAGCCATGAGGATGCTGAGAAATGCTGGGAGTCCAGGTAGGTTCTTTTCCCACAGTTTTGTTACCATCTCATTTCCTTCAAAGTCAAACTGTTCAGCATACATTTCTATGAGTTTTGATAAATGCCTACAGTTGTGTGATTACCAACACAAAGAAATTAGAGGAATGTTCCATCAGTACCCAATTCTCTCGGGTCTGGTTCTAGGCACCCCCTCCCTCAGCCTCTGGCAACAGACCTGGTTTCTGTTCTGTGGTTTTTAAATATCTAAATAGAATCATGCAGTAACGTGGTCTGGCCACACATTGAGAGCAGAGCCAACAGGACTCACAGATGGGATGTGGGGTGTGGGAGGAAGAAGAATCAAGTGATACCCGTTCCTAGCTTGTGAAACTGGAAAGCCGGCGATGCCATTTGCTGCTGCAGGGGACTAGGGGGTTTTGTGCAAGAGGTTTGGGTGGTAAAATGGACTTTCCAGTCTGGGACTTCAGGTGGCTGTTGCCTAGTGCTTTGGGGACCGAGCCCTTCCAGGATACTGCCCTTCTGGGGAGCCCAGTCATAGCCCCGAGCCCATATGTGTCAGGCCTCCCAAATTTGCTGCCAGCAAATCTAACCTTCTGCTCTTTGCCTGTGGCACGCCCCCTCGCCCAGCTGTGTTCCAGCCACTTCTGAGCGCCCTGCCCATGCTCTCCTCCCTCATTTCTTTCCTTCGCTCGTTACCAAGACTCAGCAGCTCTGTCCAATCTTTTGATCCTAAACTGACCCTCAGAATCAATTCTCCTATTAGTTATTTTGGACTTTGTTATTGTTTGAATTATTCATTTTACAACCCACTACTAAACCCCCTTAGGAGCAGGTGCCGTACAGGAGGTGGTCAAGTCTGAGCCGGGGCTTTAGTCATGCGCAGGGAGAGGGGGTTAGGTGCAGAGGGAGCCACGTGTCTGAGTACAAGTGCCTGTTGGGTGGTAGTGGCCTGGGACTGGAGCCCCAGGAGGAGGTTGGATTTTTTTTTCCCCTCAGAAGCCCCTGGAAGATTTTAGTCAAGGGAGGGGTATGCTCAGACTGGCGTTTTAGAAATATCTCTGGGTGTGAGCATAAAAGCAAATAAAGAAACCATACAGGAAAAAAATATTGTTTGGCTATATAGAAATTTCAGAACTTTATATGCCCTGGCCAAGGTGGCTCAGTTGGTGGGAGCATCATCCTGTAAACTGAAAGGTCGAAGGTCCAGTCCTGGTCTGGGGATGCGTAAGAGGCAATGGATCCATGGTTCCCTGTCACATCAATGCTTCTTTCCCTCTCTTTCCCCCTCCCTTCCCCTCTCTCTAAAATCAGTAAGCATGTCATTGGGTGAGGATTAAAAAAATAATAAGAATTAAAAAATAAAATTTTCTGAACCTGAAAAAAGCCACCATGAAATAGGTAAAAAGAAAAAGAAAAACACATAAAAATTTTGGAACATTTAACTACAAATTGTGGATCTTGGTATATAAACAAAGCTTAAAAATAAAAGGTAAAAAGACTTCATAGAAAAAGGAGCCTATGGCATATATAGGCAATTCACAAGACTTAAAATGAACCATAAACATTGCGCAGCATGACTAGTAAACAAATGCAAAATGACTAAAGTGAGACTGTTTATATAGCAGATTGTTACAGATATTTTAACCTTCCCAACTTAAATTTTTTTCTGGCTATAGTTGACATATGGTGCTTTCTAAGTGTAAGGTGTACAGTTCTGTGTTTTGATGTTCTTTTGTATAATTACTACAGGTTTTTCCCTTGTGGTTACCACCAGGCTTACACTGAATAGCTTAACATTATAACACCCTATTTTAAACTGGTAACTTCAATGAAATTCCTAAACTTTATGCTTTCACTTCTGCTCCCCCCCCTTCAAATTTCAGGTTATTGGTGTTACAGTTAACATATGCTTTTACCGTGTAAACAATAACAGATTATTGTAGTTCTGGTTATTTTTATTACGGGTTACAGCTTTTAAATTAGAGTTGTAAGTGACTTACATATCACCCTTATTACCATATTACAGAATCTAAATTTGACTATGTATTCACCATTACCGGTCAGTTTTATGCTACTTTCTTTTGGTGGTTTTTTGGGAGGAGGGGCGATGGGGGAGATGGAGGGGAAGAGTCAGGGTTGTCATTTAAACTTTTTCCCATTTCATTTTTACCTTTGGAGATCTTAAAGACTGTGATACAGAAGGGGCTTGAAACCATCAGTACTCTGATCTTGGCAGATCTGCAGCACTCACGTCCTAGTCCAGACCAGCAGATTTGCTGGTCGAGCCTTGTAGATTCCCCTGTGGGGTGAGATGGATTGGGGGCTCCCCAAAAGTGACCTACAATAATGGGGGAGCTGGATGTGTGCCCCAGGCTCTCTTTTTTCCCCACTGAGGGAGCCACAGGCTCAGGGGAGACCTCCTGGCATGGCACTTTGCCGGCCCGGGGGTGGGCGGCTGCTCCTATAACCTTTCTAATGTGGTCAGTCTTGGACTTGGTGGTGCGGAGGGTGCTTCGGCCTCACCCATGTGTTCTAGGATTCTCCCTGAGTGTCTGGTCTGTGGCTAATTGTTACTTCTTGTGAGGGGGAGCAATGTCAATAACGACCTATGGCGCCATCTTGTTGATGCTACTCTTGGTCCCAAGAGTTTAAAAAATTTGCAATGGCTAGGGTTGGTGACAGTTCAGAGAAAAGATCATACTCATGTTCCTGCTACTGCAAGGGTAAAATGAAACAGTGTTTTCCTGAGGGGTAATTTGGAAATAGGTGCAAAACCTTTTTTCCTGGGGAGATAATGAGAGATGGGTGTAAATATTCATTTTGTACCTGGATATTCAGTGCATTCTCATAACACACAAATCTGAAAACTCCCTAAATAGGCGAGAGAGATCTTGCACAACTCATACGATGTACTAAGCAGCTGATGAAAATCAAGTCCTTAAAGAATACTTAATGTGAGAAAATGTTCATGAGCTATTAAAAAGCAAAAAAAAAAAAAAAGATTTTCGAATAGTAGGTTCTGCATGATCCCAATGTTGTAAAAGGTATTATATACAGGGGTGGGAGCAAAAGTAGGTTTACAGTTGTTCGTATAGGTGTTATGGCCACGCTTTCAGATTTACCGATACTACAATAATTACTAAATAATTCAAGAATAAACTATATTTCATGTACTCATGACTGTAAATCTGCTTTTGCCCCACCCTGTACATGTAGATGGGAAAAATATTAGGGTCATACCCCCAAAATATTAACAGTGACAACTCTGGGGTGCTGAGCCAGCAGGTGACTTCTAGTCTCTTTTTATTCTCTACTTTCTACTAGTTCTGTCATGAACATATATTACTTTTATCATCATAAAAAAAAGCAGTAATGATAGGGAGAAAGAGAGAAGACTGAAGCAAGGTTAGGCTGAAGGGCACCGCTACAATGACATAACTGAGAAAATACTAAGGCCTCAGGCGCGCCCCATCCACTGCCCCGGCACTCATTTTCCCCAGATAAACTCTAGCTAGACCTTTACCTTCTAGACTCTCGAGTCTCCCCTAGCAAATATAATAGTGATGACTTACTTACTGATCACTAAGATTCTTTCCGGATTTAACAATCCCACCATTCTACAAGTACACCAATTATTCACCTTCCATTAAAGGTACTGATAACGCTGCCAAAACGCCCAACTCCCCTCAGAATCAAACAAAACAGACGCTATAGCATAAGCCCATTTATGACACAAAATCAAATGCTGAAAGGATAAGGTGGCGTATTATTAACAGCAACATAAAAAAAATCCTTGAACTTCCAGCATGCACTTTAAAATATGTATTTTTATTACTGTAATCTTTAAGTATAATTTTAGTAGCACCCATTAGCCCTCCTGCTTTTAATGGATTGTCAGCATTTCCATTAGAAGCCCACTTTCTAAGGAATCTACAACTTGTCTTACTGTATTTGACTCAAGCTCATGACTGAGAACGTCCTGCCTAAGGGGACGAAATCACTTGAACCTTTAATGATAAACAATGG